TAGATTTTGTTGAGGAATGGCATGATATGTAACAAAAATGAAGGGCCGTCGCGGGTGATGACAGGAAAACCAGTAATTTTCGATCCTGGAAAGTCACCAACATGCACATTCTCTCAGAAAAATACACGTCTCATACGTTTTTGACTCGTAGATGGATCTACCGTGTGTATTTTGCTAAAGACTCGGGTCCCGTGGCGTTTCGACGTCGATTGGGCGGGGATTGTTGTGACGTCACGGGGAAAAAAAGCGCCAGAAACACAAGAATTTAGCGGCGTCAACTACATGAAAGCTCACCTCTCTTGTGATGACAGTGCGTGCAACGTGCCTGGAGGGTGTTGAACGAGCAAGGGGGCGCAAGGATTGTGAATTATTGGCTGTTGGCGCCCAGACCCTGTTTTTTTTTCCTTGAGTTGCAACGGAGTGTCCATTGCCTTGGACGTTCAAATAGGCCCACATTCGTGATCAAATACTCTCGTCCCCTGGCCTTTGTGGACGTGACACCCAAGGCTCTAGGTTTCCATGTGAAGTGACCTGCGAAAACAGTGTCCACGGGTCATTTTCCATGCATTTCCAAAACTTGCCCGTGCTTTCTTTGCCCCTTGTTGTCATAGTATTCGCCCAGCACACGTCGGAGCACGCGGGGCGAGCGACCAAGACGTTCCTTTTTTTGGTTTCGTCCAACCAGCGCCTTTCGTTTCCACGATCAGTCCATTGTTTTTGCTTGATATGCTATTTCATCGTAGAAACGCGGTATCGTCGTCCTGGCTGCCTGTGTTTCGGGCCTTAAATGTTTCTTCTTTCCTTCTTTTAAGACAGGCTAGTCAAGCTCAGGCAGCTTTTAGGCCTTCTCGGGTGCCAAAGTATGTCTCTAACGAAAGAGCTTTTATCAAGTACGTAAAATATCTATGCCTTTGCCTCAAAAGTGTCGAGCCCGTGAATATGTTGCCACGGCTTGACCTCATTTTATGGTTCCCGCTATTACGCGTCCCCCACCCCCCAGCTATCGAGAGCACTCCTTCGCTGGAGGAGGACTCGGAATCGTACTATCATCTACTCATGACAAGGGTCGACGAAGCCTTACTTCTGCCCCCCGAGGGTAAGGGATAGGATGGGTGAGGGACAAGCGTACGGGGGAGACAAAGGAATAATTTTACAGCGGCGTAGGGAGGAAACCCGCCGCCAAGAGGGTCGCCTGTGTTGCCAAGCAAGTATTCGACTATCCACGTATGCTCACGTGTATCTATTTATACACTTCCCGCTCTTTCTTCTCCCATGTCCCCTTCCCCTTCCCTCTTTCTTCCCTTTTCCCCGTCTATCCCCCCCCCTTCTCTCCTCCCTCAGATGGCGTTCACCAATATCTAGACAGCATCGAG